ATTCTTTCTCGATACAAACTTTTAGTACACAGTAATTCCACAGTCAGTACGTTTTTCGTCACTTTCAACTTAACGACTTTTATAATTCATGCTATAAATCACAGCGATTCACAATCTCGAGAATTTCGCTTTCTGCGAGTGCAAAACACTAGCTCGAAACAGAATCGTAAATTACCCGGAACTCTCTTCATTTACCCATTAATTGTTGGCTTTCTCTGCCAGGCTTAAATACCAACAAATGTGCGTGTCGATTGCACTCGGGCCTCCCCGATCATTCATGATCATTCGAGAAATTCAGTCATGCATGCACTAGCAGAATCACGTGACTTCCGCTGTCGTAACACTACTTACAAAATAGTTATTATTGACCAAAATATTTTAGAAGATATTGAACAAAATGCTTACTGAAAAAAATGTTGTATCTATAACCAGAATTATATACTTTGGCGTTTTACTACAGAAAAGACAGACAGTAAAACTTCAAAAGTGCAAACAAATGTTACATAAAAGTTAAAGAAGAGGGAATCCTCAATAGCTATGGTTGTAATTAGATCTCAAATCGGTCAAGAGATGGAGCTATGAGCTAAAAGTTTGTACTTCGTAGAAAACTCAAAGCCATTTTAAGAGTCAATATGCAATGGCTAAAAATAAAGCTCAAAAGAAATACAACCAAGTGGATTAATTTTCAAAGCCTTTAATTCAGGAAATAACAATTGGTTTGCTAGTGTCAGGAATAAAATGTTATTATTTTTCACTGTTAATAATAGTTTGTTTCTTTTAGGAATTTCTCACAAAGCTCCTCAAGGACTATCCGCACTGGCTGTCACTAAGTTAAGAGTTATTTACAAGAAGGAAGACAGCTAGGCAATACCACCCACTGCCAACTCCTTGGCTATTCTTTTAGCAGTGAAGAGTGGAATTGACCATCATATTATAATATCATACACAGCAGAAAAGACAAACATATTTGGTAATGGGATTCAAAACCATAGATTGTGAACCAAAGATTGCCTCATGGAATTTCATGCTAATAGAAGGATATCAATCCAGTAAGAAATAGTGCAGAAATGAAGGCCCAGTAAATATTTATTTTTAAGAGCGTTAGCAAAAAAGGAAATACATAGTGTCGTAATAGCGATATTTATACCGTATATTAAGCTATTTTAAAAAAATACTTCTTGAAAATCTTAGTTTTAAGCATACATACATGCACTGCTGAAAAACACAATATCACAATTTAACATCAGACTGAAGGTTAAAACTACATGAACATTAAAGAGAACTAAACTTTTAGTTACTCATACTCAGAAATATGATATGTTCTGATAACCTTCAGCCTTTTCAAAGTTTGTCTTAATGAACTGATGTACAAAATACTTCATTAAATTTTCTTAATAAATGGTGGTGATAGTAATAACGGGTGATCTACTACTATTTGTATTTTGAAGTCGTACTTTGACTATGCAATAATCGTATTTTAATTAAAGAATTGGTATTTAACACTTTCATATGTTACCTTACAATAAACTAAAGACATCCTTGAATGAATTAAAGAAAATAAAATGTTGATGCTATTCTTCTCAATATAGGGTAGGAATTAAAACTTGGTGTGTGGTTATCTGTACCAAAAAGTCTTATTCTACACGTATTACATGCTATCAAGTCAAATGTCAATGTATCCATTTCAGGGTTAACTAGCTTAGACAATCTTCATCATTTTTCTTATAAGAGAGTTTGTGTATTATCCAGGAACTAACAGTTTATTTTAAACTGAAACTGTCCATCAATGGAATGACTAATTGATGTATATTATGAAATAAATATTTTTCCAATTATAAAAGAGGTCAATCATAGTTATAACTCAAAATTAGTGAAAGTTTCTATTAGAAATTGAAAATTAAATCCGTGCACTTTACTTTTCTTTCTTTCTTTTTTGCTGTTTTTGTGGTAGATATGATAAAAATTATAATAGTAATATCTAAAATGTTAACTACTTTAATAG